CCCTAGATGGAGGGGTGGGCAGGGCCGGACAAGGGCAGAGATTTGCTTTGGACTAATCTCACCATTTTCTGAGTTCCTTTACTAAAGTGAATTAGCAATCCCACTGCTGCGGCGTATTAGATGCTATGTGCCAGGTTCTGTGCCAAGCACTTCCCACACCTTCTTAGTCACCTCAACAGAGGTGGGTACTGTTCTCAAGATCTAGGTAAGCTGGGAGGAGTCATAGAGTCAGGACAGTAAGAGCTGCTGGTACCCACACAGGGTTTGTCTGGTACTTAAACTCTAGGCCTTGACTTCACGCTCATTCTTCTGACAACAATGCCAAAGGGGCTACACGTTAGGGTTCAGTCACATTCCCCCAGATTTAGAGACTTCTGACCATGCTCAGTATACATTTCCAACTCTGGCTGGCCATTGTGCTAACATATGCCCTTTGCCTGCATGAGGAGCAACGAGAGCATTCTAACAGACTACCTCCGTAAGGAACAATGGTCCTAAGGGCAGCATCTCCTCCAAGGATGCATACTGTCTCACCCTCTATTCCTTGACTTGGATCCATCTGAAGAAGTGCATCCCTAGGCAGGGCCAGGGAACTGGGAGACAGAAGAGAGAGGCAGGGCATAGCATTTACTAAGTGCAGAATGTTGGAGAATCAAAGTCCCAGGAGCACAAGAGTTCCTTGGCTGTTCTTTGGTCTAAACATCTTGCTTTATAATTAAGTAAGGGCTTTGGTTTTAGGAGTGGGTGGACAGTGCAAAGATAGGATGCTTACGTGGCATATGAGAGGCCCTGGGTTTGGTTCCCATGGGTTAAAAACAGTTCTGTTTGACCTCACCCTCCAGGAGCCACTGGAGACAAGGCAGCCATGGGGCCCAGAGCCCAAGGAATTGAAGAGGAGAACAGAGCCAAACTCCAGAGTGACTCTTAGGGTCCAGGAAAGGGCGGGGGTCACAAAAGTGTCAAGACCTTGTCTAAGTTTCTTTTCTCTGTCCTGGGTCACTAGCCCCTCGATGGAGGGTCTATCATTTCCCCCATATCTGTTTTGATATTTATTCATTATTATCAGAGCTATAAAAGAATTAGCCACTTCCCCGCAGGGTAGGAATTCCTGAGTCCCTTGGCTCCCCACACACTCCTCGTTTCCTGGGAAAGTCTTGAACATGGGGCCCAGGGAATGGCAGGCACAGGGACAATACTCCAACTCTTGCACCGTGTCTCCTTGCTTTCCCATCCCTGCTCTCGGGCCTTGGGCCATGTCCTCCAGAGCGTGGGGATCAGCTTGGCCTCCTCTTCTTGGGTGGCTGGAGACTACAAACGTCATTCTATCCTTTCTCCCTCCTCACTAGCACAGGATGGAGATGAAGGAAGAAACATGCCGAGACCATGATGGCATCAACTCGACAATGTATCCTTCAAGGACACCCCTCAGCTCCCTTTCCTATTTGATTCTTGAGATGTCCTGTCTCTCCAACACATCCAACTTCTGCTTACAGAGCAAATTCCGCTTCCCACTGCCAGTTTAGTGCATAATAACCTGTTCTAAAGCATTTCATCCCTTGCCAGTAAGGATTATTCCTCTAAGAAAAGAAGGGTTCTGGTCATGGAGTTAGGGGCCCGGTCCTCCCTTCCCACCCCATTCTCCTCCAGGGTGCATCACTCACGTCTATAGACATCTCCCTCTGGGTGAGCTTCTTGGTCTCCTTTTCGCAGAAGTTGAGCATGGCTTCCCGGCTGAACGTGCCAGAGGGCTGTCTGTCCGTTTGATTCCTCTGCCGCAGCCCCACAGGAATGCTCCCATCTGGGTCCACCACATCTAGCTCCTTCTCCAGTTCTTCCATCTCCTCAGGGGAGAGGGTGGACAGCAGGCTGTCGATGTCAGGGTCTTCACTCACCTGCCGCCGATACTTGGCTACCTTGGACATCTTGGCAAAGCGGGCAGCTTCTCTTGCCAAGTCTGTGGGAGTGTTGGTAGTTCGCAGAGAAGGGAGAGGGGGTGCTGGTCTGGGTAGAGCTGGGTGGGCTTGGGTGGGAAGGCCCAGCTAGATGAGGACTGCAGCTCGTAGGGCCCGCTGTGCCACAGGTGCTCAGGGGACTCGGCAGCCTCCCTGCAGCCCAAGGCTAGTGGACCCTGCTTGGTCTAACCAGCAACCAATAAAACCTGACAGCTGCCCAGCCAGAGAGGAGAAGCCAATCCCCAAGCCAGGGGGCGGGCCTGCCTCACTGTCAGAGCTGTTTGAAACTTGAGGACATTCCAGGGAATCTTGGAGCGCTGCGTGACCAAATTTAGTACAGAGCAGTTTAGCCTTTTAAAGACAAGGGGGCCACACAATGAGGAAAAGATAGAAAAATGCAAAGGCTGGCAGGGGCAGACCAAGCCACTGGAAGCCAGGGGAGCAGGGACCGGGTGATGAGGCTCATCAAGTGGCCAGCCTGAAGCCAGCCTCTATCAGGAATGGATTTTACTTTTCTGTCACTGGGTGGCCACTGTCACCTTTCTACTGTATTTGGTAATGTTTTGGGGGGAATCCCGGGAGTTTATAATCCCAGAAAAGACACTAATGCAAGATGAGGGACAGTTCTTATAACCAACCCACCTACACAGTTTCCTGTCAAGAACCTGAGGGCTGAGCATCAGTTGCCCTGATGCCCCTTTGCCCCTTTACCACTTCAAGAGATAAGAGAATGGGAGACATGGTAGAGGGTGGGGGAGTGTGGGGGGGTGATATCCTCACAGTGTATACAAACTGAAAATGTTTTGGTGGTGTTTTTTTTGGGGGGGGGTTGGTGTTTTTTTTTTTTTTCTTTT